GCTAAATGGGGAAAGAAGACGGTGACAATTCAGGCTACAGAAAGGCCGTTCGAGATCCATGAAGCTCATTATTCTGATGCCATCTACTTCACCGAACTGGCTGTCGAAGAAGTTCCCACCACCTCTAAGCCTCGAGGGGTCAAAATTCCTCGTTGGGAGGATATCAAAGATGACAAGGAGCCGATGGCAGAGTCAAGTAAGCGGGCAATGTCTAGACCAGAAAGTCCGCCTATTCCTCGGAAGGTGATGAAAGTTCGAGAAGGAGGCAAGATGGCGTACTATTTATGATGGTGCATGATGGCCACAACCCGAGCAGCTGGCGAAAGCTTTCCCAATGATCTTACAACTCAAGGTGCAAATTTCAACATTCCGTAGAAGAAGTCTATCTATGACATTTACAGTTTGCATTTACTACATTGTCCAAGAAGTTCTATCTTTCTTATGTCATGAAGAAATTTATTTCCTCCATATTATGTGAGAAGCAACAAGAAAGTGAAGACATCCTTGACTACGTCAAAAGGTTTCAGGACAAGGCCGTGGATTGTCATGAAGCAGTTGAGGAGAGTTATCTGGTTCAAATTTGTCTAGAAGGGGCATTGAGCAGGTACAAAATGTTTCTAGTTAACCACAAGCTACCCACCTTCTCGGCATTAATAGAAGCAGCTCGGAACATTAGCATTCCTCAGGCTCAGGAGTCCGGATTTAAAGCTAGTTACAAGACTAGTTTCAAGTCATCTCGTGGACCTATCGTTGCTGCTGCCTCTGCCCCGGATACCCGAAATTCACAAGGAGGAGGTCATAGAGGCCAGAAGAGAAAGCAATATAATGGTGAAAAGGGGAATGTTTCTTATCCATGTGGAATCGAGGAAGTGAAAGCTCTAGTTAAGGAATGGGTGGCTGACGGAGAGCTAAAATTGCCTTATGTTGAAGACATGCCATCAAAAAAGGACCGTGAGAGCCCTGAATTTTGTGTCTACCATCGTACATTGAAACATCCGACAGAGAAGTGTTGGACTCTCAGGAAAATCTTCAGAGATAAAGTCGAGGCAGACGAGTTGAGGTTCAAAAAGCAAGGGACTCAAGACATCCGAGAACAACCATATCCTCAACACCGAGACAAGGGCAAGAATGTTGCTATGATAGCTTATGAAGGCCCGATGATCGAGGCTATCGCCAATCTCGATGACGATGATTGTTATCTGGACGACATCCTCGAGCCAGAGGGTGAGCAAGTTTATAATGGAAGTGCTCTCGATCCAGAGGGCAGAACATTTATGACTCATGGAGAAGATCCCTTTGATCCAGAAGGAGGAGAAGAGTACTATGAAAGAGGAGGACACCATGTTTATGTGGCATCTTATTTTGAAGAGACCGAGGAGATGGTTAACTACGAGCCTCCAAGAGCGGAAAAAGATCGGATCACTATGCCAAAACCTTGCAAGACTGTGTAAAGTTCAAGCAGTTCTTTGACCAGCTTGGACTTTCCAGGGAGGCAAGAACGGAAATCACCAAGTCTATCATTAATATAGCCGAGGCACACCATGAGGAATGCATGTCGACTGAGGGGTCTATCCCGAGGAAGGCAAAAGAGCAATCTAGTGCCATTACTTTCTCCGAGGCTGATCGAAAGTATCCTTTTTCTCACAATCGCCCGCTTTATGTGACTGTTTTTATTAACGGGGTTAAGTTCAAAAGGGCCTTTCTAGACAGTGGAGCCTCTATCAACATTATGACTCGAGCTACTCTACAGAAGGCCGAAATCTTTGAAGAGCGCATTGTGAAGCAGTCGATAGTCATCACTGGCTTCGGTGGAAAAAAGAAAAATACTATAGGATGCGTAACAGTTGATTTAGCCATCGGAGAAATTCGCTTGGCCACCAAGTTCCATATTATCAATTTCGAGACAAATTATCACATCATTTTAGGAAGGACCTAGATGCATAGATATGGGGTTGTACTGTCAAGTTATCATTAGTGTGTTAAGGCTAAATGGGGAAAAAAGACGGTGACAATTTAGGCTACAGAAAGGCCTTTCGAGACCCATGAAGCTCATTATTCTGATGCCATTTACTTTAGTTATCATCAGTGTGTTAAGGCTAAATGGGGAAAGAAGACGGTGACAATTCAGGCTACAGAAAGGCCGTTCGAGATCCATGAAGCTCATTATTCTGATGCCATCTACTTCACCGAATTGGCTATTGAAGAAATTCCCACCACATCTAAGCCTCAGGGGGACAAAATTTCTCGTTGAGAGGATATCAAAAATGACAAGGTCCCAAGCACATAATCAAGTAAACGGGTGATGTCTAGACCAAAAAGTCCGCCTATTTCTCGGAAGGTGATGAAAGTCTGAGAATGGGGCAAGATGGTGTACTATTTATGAAGGTGCGGGGAGTCGGTTTCTTTAGTCACCGACTCCAAGTCAAAAGAAGAGCCTCCTGACAATGATATAGTAATAAAACCTGAAGTGGCTCCAGAATGCATGCAAGATGGGCCGAGGCCTTAGCCTGAACAACTTATTGAAATAGATTTGAGTGATGGACAAGATGCACCGAGGTCGGTATTCGTAAGTTCGAGCCTTAGCCCAGAGAAGCGGAAACAGTTGTTAAAGTTGATAAGCCGATACTCAGATGTGCTTGCTTGGTCATATAAGGAAATGCTCGGACTAGATCCTCACCTAGTCTCCCACTATCTTGATGTGTTTCCAAACTCCAAGCCAACTAAGCAAGCTGCTCGAAAATATCATCCAAATCTCGAAGAGAAGATTAAGGAGGAGATTGAAAAACTTCAATAGGCTGGTTTCATCCGGCCAATACAGTACCCCACGTGGTTAGCAAACATCGTGCCAGTAAAGAAGAAGAATGGCCAAATCAGAGTATGTGTAGACTTTTGAGATTTGAACAAATCTTGCCCGAAGGATGAATTCTCTCTTCCTCACATCGACAACCTCGTAGATACTACCTCGGGACACCAGATGTTCTCATTCATGGATGGATTCAGTGGATACAATCAGATTAAGATGGCTGAAGAGGACGCAGAAAAGACTGTTTTTAGAACACCTCTCGGAAACTTCTTCTATACAGTCACGCCTTTCGGACTCAAGAATGCCGGTGCAACTTACCAAAGGGCTATGACTGCAATCTTTCATGACATGATCCATCATGAGGTGGAAGATTATGTTGATGATCTAGTGGTGAAATCCAAAGAAGAAGAAGACCATCTCCGAGACCTTGAGAAGGTATTCAAGAGGTGCCAAAAATTCAAAATGAGGATGAATCCTCTCAAATGTGCTTTCGGGGTGACGGCCGGGAAGTTCCTCGTGTTTCTTGTACATAGGCATGGTATCGAGGCAGATGAAGACAAGATCAAATCTATCAGAGCAATGCCTCCCCCGCATTCTCAGAAGGAGTTAAAGAAGTTCCTCGGGAAGGTGTCTTATATTCGGAGGTTTATCCCAGCACTGGCAGAGATCTCTGCGCCTTTCGGCTCTTTGTTAAAAGGAGATGCCAAGTTCGAGTGGAACCAAGAGCACCAAAAGGCCTTTGAGAGAATCAAGGCGGCCTTGACCTTGCCTCAGACCATGATAGCCCCGCAGCTCGGGGTGCCTCTAATGTTGTACCTAACTTCAACCCCCAAGTCCATAGGGGAATTATTGGTCCAAGATGTAGATGGAGTGGAACGCCCGGTGTATTACATCAGTCGAAAGATTCGAGGAGCAGAACTCCGATATACTCCAGTAGAGAGACATTGCTTAGCTTTGGTATTCACTGCCCAAAAGCTCAGACATTACTTCTTAGTACATCAGATTCAGATTGTTACTAAAAATGATCCAATCCGATACCTCCTCAACAAGCCTGCTTTAACCGGGAAGGTGGCAAGATGGTTGTTAGCACTGGGTGAATTCGAGATCACATGTGTAGCCCCCAAGGCGATCAAAAGCCAAGCCTTTGCTGACCTCCTTGCTTAATTTCCAAGTGGTGACTATGAACCAGTGAATGAAAAATTAAGAGGAGAGGTGCATGCAGCTATGGCTTCCGAGGAAAGCTTTTGGACATTGAGCTTTGACGGAGCAACAGCCGGAGGTAAAAGAGGAACCGGGATAGTCCTTACAAGTAAAAGTGGGGAAAAGTTTTATTTATCTTATAAACTGGATTTCCATTGTTCGAATAATGAAGCCGAGTATGAGGCTCTTATGTTAGGCTTGATAACAGCTGAGAAGCACAGTATCAAGAAGATTCGGATTCGGGGGGACTCAAAATTGATAGTGAAGCAAATTTCAAGACAGTTCGTCTTAAAGGAGCCTGCCTTGGCCACATATCGAACAACAGTCCAAAGGCTTCTTGACAAATTTCAGAAGGTTGAAATAGAGCATATGCCTCGTTCCGACAACAAGTTTTCAGATGCCCTCGCAACATTAGGGGCAGGAGTTGATATCCCAGAGGAGGAGGTGACAATTATTATCAAGAAGAGAATAGAGCCTTCGATAATACCTGAAGACAAAGGCCTTCCGGAGGACTGGAGAGGAGAAGTCCTCGAACAATTCAGAAGCAAAGTTGGAAAACTGACTATGGCCAAGCTTGCCCAATTCATAATAATTCAAGGTGAACTTTACTTCCGAGGAGGTACCGGATTCCTGGCCCGGTGTGTTGGCCAACAAGAAGCAAGCTTTCGACTACAACAGATTCATGAAAAATCCTGCGGAGATGAGGATATCAGTCTGTACAGAAAGATCCAAAGACATGGCTATGATAGTGCATGATGGCCACAACCCGAGCAGTTGGTGAAAGCTTTCCAAATGATTTTGCAACTCTAGGGGCAAATTTCAACATTCCGTGAAAAAAGTCTACCTATGACATTTACAGTTTGCATTTACTGCATTGTGCATGAAGTTCTATCTTTCTTATGTTATGAAGAAATTTATTTCCTCTATATTATGTATCTCCATTAAAA